CCTAAAACAGCTTTTTTATTATTATTACAATTTAACGAGGTAATCTTGTCCCTTAATAAATCTGCCGAGCCGCAACTCTGTAGTAAATACGTTAACGAGGTAATCTCGTTAACGACATCATCTAGTCCGTTAATATAGCCACTGAGCTGCACATCTGTAGTAAATCGCACAGTGATACGTTGAGAAACCGATTTTCGGACCGTGTAACCTGATTTCGAAGCGTTAATGTACATGAACGCTGTCGAAGAAGCGCATAAATACAAAATGTTATAATCTCTTCGCTTATTTCGTATTCAATCAACAGGCAATTTAAGTACTTAATAAATAATCTTAGAAACTTTTACTGCGATATGAGTCAATTTAGATCACCTATTTGGTAATGATGGGGACAAACACCATTTGCTAATTGTTCTATAAACTCTCAAACTTTGCCAACAAACTAGCTATATATAAGAGTTTCATTTTTGTCCAAACAGATTTCTTAAAAAAGAACAGTGAATGTTACTTTGATGCGTATTCGGCCAGTGAGGTATAAGGCCAAGGGAAAATATTATAAGGGCTAATCACTACAACCCAAATAACTGTTTAAAATGTGTTAATGAACTTTTTATATTTAGGCAGACACTAAAGGTCCTCTGACGCCACCCTCTGGTGTCTGCGATTATTCCGAGGTAATCTGTTATGTATTAAGTTGTATGGAGTCGCCGTCCAGCAAATACACAGTAGACCGCGCCACTCTGCGGAGCACGGCGGGTCATGTTTGGGAGCGCTCGCATTCATGGACGTTGCACTGTCAAGCCGTCCATCCTTGTTCTGTAACCGTACCTCTTTTTGCTTAGAGAATGTTATGTGCTTGTGTAGTAATTATGTCGCGACCAGGATCTCACATAATTTATCTTTGATGCCAATTTTAATAGAGAAATCAGCCGCTCATGAATTTAATCTTTGATTTTGTTAGGATGCTTAGATCCCATAGATTAAGTAATGACCATAAATAGATAAATAGACTATCACAGAAAGTAGTTTAGTGCCCTGTTAAGTCCAGGCGGAGCCGAGGCTGCGAGCTGATGGATCCAGTCAGACAACGTCAAGAACTTACCAACACATAGTTCGTTATGTCCATGTGAGTGTTCTATCATCGCTGAACTAATCATAAACAAAGAGCTCATTACCTCGTAGCGTCGGCTGCGGCTGGGTATTTCTCGAAATGATCACGTACGTGCAGATTTTGGCGTGTGGCGCTTTGAAAGCCCTAGACAGCGTTCAAGAGGCCCTGTAACGACCTTTCATTGGTTTTTAACTTGCACCGATACTGAGTGCATTGAACGTAGTAACTTAGTGAACTTTTTCTTTTTTTCGAATTTCACTTTATTTTAAAAGTTACAGGCATATTAAAATTACAAAAACAAGCAAAAAATAACCTCCTTTGTGACATCCTTGGTCCTCTGTCCCCACTTTCCCTCCTCCGTGGACCGCGGTGACCGAGGAATGAGGGGAGGGAGGGGAAGACGGAGAAAGGAGGTGAGGCCGAGGAGAGAGAGCTGCCCGGGAACGAGGCAGCTTTCCCTCCTCGGCTGACCAGGACCAACAACGTCACGATTTCGTCACATGCCGCGCGCGTTATACACAGCAGACCGCCCCCGAAGAAGGAGGAGGTTTCCGCGTCGTCCGGTTAAAATATGACGAACTGATATTTAGTCATTGTCTCTGTGCCCTGACTTGCCCGAACCACAAGAGAAGTGGAAACCAATTAAAAAAAAAGGTAGACGCATAGATAGGATTCCAGGGCCCCTTTATTACTTTGTCACTGCTTGCGGGGAATGACAGGATTTTAGGTTATTTTTTAAGTACCATTGGAGTACAAGCGCAGACTTTCTTTGTAAGATATATGTGACGAGAGGGGTTAGCGCTTGAAAAGGTCAGAGTAATTTGAGAGCTACAATAGCGGAAGTGGACCTGGACATTCCCATCGCCTCACACCTCCTGAAACGGTTCCTGTACACGCGCAGTAAACACATCAGCTGGAGGAAAACATACTTATTTATAAAAATGGGTCTGATGCAATACTTTTTTTTATTTGGACCATGGTATAAGATATAAATACAGGGTGTCCCAGGTAACTTACACCAAATAAAAAAAAAAACAAAAAAAAAAAAAAACAAGCGCTCAGAAAGGGAAATGAACCGTATATTGCGAATACACGAAATAATAAAAGCACAGAAGACGGGGATGGAAAGAGGAGTTCTGTTTCCGCCCCGTCCTCTATGTTTTCATGCTTTCATTTATTCGTATCTAATTCACCAACACAATACTTTTCAATTAATATTGCAACTGTATGTTATCAAGCACCTTACAAAGGTGCGGTTTTTCACTGTGCCCAGTCATTTAAATTGGTAATACTAATTTGCTAAATTTTTTAATTATTTTTTTATGGGTCGAGGTGTGAATGAGTTTTATGGGTCGAGATGTGAATGGGATAATTGCAGAACACATTGATAAACACAAAAATTAAGGTGTTTGCTACATGACATGGTTTGCGCGCTTCTTTTAATCAGTCTAAAATGAAAGCCCACGAAATATTCAAATTCAGTTTGTCGCTTCTTTATTGGTTACATTGAAATGTAGCATCGGCTGCGGTCGGCATTAAAGTGAATCGGAGTATAGCGATGCGGCTCTCTCGCCTTCCGCTTCAGGAAAGACGACGGTGTCCTTTGTACCTTTCCTTAGGCGACTCGGTGGGTGCCGGTAACAAATGGTGATCTCATTCCCACGCTTCAATATGACTTGCGTCACGTCAGTCACCAACCTAAATAGTTTAACCCTCCTGTGTGGAGTTTAACGGAAGCGAGAATCCAGGCGAGAGCGAAGCAGGTCGAAATTAAGTCACTCGAGTTAAGATTTCAAAACTACAACATGTTTTGATGTTCCAGCACTGCGTCCAACACCGATGCGTTAAGAAGACGATGTACCAGTCATCCAGGCCAGCGCCGCCTACACGTTATACAACCCGGTCAACGACAACCACCACGACACGGAGGACACGGAGACCTTGGTGGTCGTATCGGCATAACATGGGACAAGACAAAACAATCCCCGACTCGAAGAGAACCCATCACTCGAGGATGGACTCAGTACAGGGCAAGGTGACGGATTCGCTCGTGGAGACGGCCAGGGCTACGCTCCCACACTAATTTAACTGCGCCGAATCTCAGACAGAGCCACCCCGCTCAAGGACTCACACGGAGATTGTCAAATTCACCTGCCTGAACTATGACCGCGAAAATGCAAGAAATAAAGTGATAGCTGGAGCGCCAGTCTAGTAACTATATAGTCTGTTTTACTTGGTTGATTTTGATCTCCGATAACGATACCCGAGAACGATAGGATGCATGCGCAAGGGCGCTTGGTAATTGGAGTTACCGGAAGGATCTGCTGAAACGCCCTAATACTTCAGCACTATACTCCGTTTCACTTTGCCATGTACCACAACGGTCGCTATGAGGCACCGGCGGCAATCCATAGCGCGGAGTGGGTCATGTGACCTTCCGAATACGTAGATCGACGCTCTGTGAGAGGTCACGTGGTACACGCAGATTGCTGGGTTGGCAGATATTGCTCGTAATGTTCGTTGCGGCAAACAGTAAGGTTATACGGAGTAGAGAAACGTGCTAAAGATAAATTTTAGGCATACTGTTCCTGTTATTATTATATAATCATGTTCAGACATACAATAAACCTCTCTATTTGTATGCTCGGTTTCATTAGAGAATTAACATTTATGAACTGAAATTACCTGTGCGTTTTCACTCCATACTCTGTATAGTTATTGGGGAGGAGGACAAACCGTGACGCCCCAAGCGGTTAATTTTAGAACTCCACCGATGGGGAGCTCTAAAGCTCAGCGCTCGGCCGACATAACCGAACGCAGCGTCAGCGTTCGGCTGGAGTTCGCGTTCTCCGGCGACGGGGAGGAGGGCTCTTTTGTTACCACTCCGGCCTGCATGAACAATGCAGCGTGCACGGTGCCCAGTGCAGCACAAAAGCCGAAGTGGGTCAAGCTCGCACTCTCTGACGGCTGCTTTCGGGATAGATCCGGTACTTAACCTCACTTCGTCGATCGTTAGTATTTTTTACATTACACTGTGCCCCGCGCTTTATTGTAGAAGATGACATGGACATGTCCATAAGGCCTGGGGGCATGTGCACAGTCCTTGTGTTGAGTAAACACCAAGGTATGAGGAAACAAACAGGTCAGAGCTCCTGCCCAATAACGAGCTACATGTGCAGCACTGTTAGCTGAGAACCACCTGTTTGTTTGGTTGCTAATTTTTATTATAACTTTGAACTTTCTCTTCCTCGTGTAATTCCCCTGAACGAGGCCTTTAAGTGTGAAATGAATGAATGAATTATTAATAAAACAATCGTAGAAAGGGTATCATAAATTTTAAAACATTCGTCGCTGTCAAATAATGGCATAAAAAGTTGCACTTTTGTAGAAAGGTATTAGATCACAGAAGAAATTCGGGATCAAACAAGCGATATACATGCCTATATCACATAGAACTCCCTATGGGTATTGCCGCTTTCCAACGTGGAACCTCCAAGGACTGACAGGTATTATTTTAGTGTTTTTTTTATTATAAATATGTACGTTTACAAAATCATCCCACTTAAACTATCTAAAACGAACTGGCACCTCTTTTAGTATATTCGTGAAAATCGAATTTCGATCTATTCTGTATTATGAACTTCACCAAAAGTGGTCATTCGAGCATTTCCACTACTCGGTCGTTCTTAAAGGAGCTGTGCAACGATTTTAACGTTGAAAGAATTGGCATCTTCTGCTTTTGATATTGTTCACCTTGTCACAAATGACAGAAAACACACCCCCTTTCATCGAAATGTTGCGATTTCGCCGCGTAATCGCGAGGTAAAAATTAGAATATTCCCAGACCTGCAGCCGCGAGCGGCCGCCATGGGAAACACGCGCGTGACGTCACTTGGGTACCTGTATAAAAGATATAAAGTTCTGCAAATACCTGCTCAATAAAGGGTATCTTTTCCATAAATATTGCCGTCCCAACAACATAAATGCTTGAAAAACGTAGTATCAATTACAGAAATTTTTAGTGGCGCCATCTACCCGAGGTCAATAAAACCGACAGCTCGAGCAGCATCAGCGGCTAGCACGAGGAGCCGAACGAGCGCTTTGGTTTGGTTTTCCGCCGTGTCGATCTCGACTTCGAACGTCGCCGCTCGGCAATGCCGACCGGGTGCTCCGTTCTCCTGTGTCCTAACCGGACTGCACAAAGCCCTCTTGTCCGTGCTAAAAAGCTCCAGTTCCATCGTTTACCACGCGAAGAACGTCTCAGAAGTGAGTGGTGTGGAAGGATTGGTAGAAGGGACCCTGGACAGGCAGACGTGCGCGTGTGCTCCGAACACTTCGACAGCGACCGCGACTACCGTCGCCTGCCAAGTGTTCTTCGCGATGCCGGGCAGACGATGAAGAACGTCTACCTGAAGCCAGATGCTATTCCTTCGCTCCGACTGCCCCCCACTGCGAAGCGCCTCTCCCCTGCCAAGGACCCAGCCGTGCCAACGTCGAAGCGCCGAAGAACTGAGGTAAGTGTCGCACGTTCGCGAGCGGCACACGGTCGTGAACCTTTCGAGCACAGGTTTACGAACATTTTTGCTTTTGCAGAACGATGAGCCGGTGGAGGTGGATTGCTTCGAGAGGACCACACCTCGCGAGCACAGCTGTCATTGTCGTCACCGACCGGCGACACGCGACACAGCGGTCCAGGCCGACCTGCATGAAAATCCGGGACCCGCACAGACTCCGAGGCCGCCTGGCACGAAGGACAGTTCTGTGGGCACAGACCGATGGCTGGGAAAGCGATCTACCGGTACGCATCAAAAAAAGCCGCCTGTATTCGCGTGCTTGACGTCATATTGCAGGAGAAACTGTAGGAAGGGTCTTCATTGCTCTGCCAAGTGCCTTCCGACGGCACTCCACGCGAATATTGACAATACTGCGCGAATGTGCTTTTTTTTTTTTTTTTTTTCGCGTTTGCATGGTGTTTTTGTTTTTCTATGCGGTTTCATTTTGCTTCGAGCTCAAACGATTTTGAATTCCTTCTTGCTGTGGAAAGTGTCGAACATTGCGTCCAAAACTCCACCTTTCATGTGTTTACGGGAAGAAAAAAAGAGGAAGGGGTAATGCATTCCAGAATGTAACACTAGCCCACGCCATGACATCTACTGCCCCCAGAACTTGTGGACAAATTTCGAACGAGCACATAAAGTGCCCTCAGATGACACATATGAACACACTTGATGGTACACCAGCAACAGCATAAATTCTACGCAAATTTAGTACTGTACTATTTCTTAATTTAACTGGGACATGAGGGATGTAGTCTTATTCCTTCTTGTCGTTAGGCCAGGTAAACCCTATAAACGTGCTGCTGCTTGTTGTAGGTAACTAGATAATAATAATAATCTCTAGCAAAGGTAGCGGTACACTAGGTGACCTGCAAAGCTAGACAGATAGGCTGGAGCCCTTACTTATCAGCGTTTGCTAGCCAGCCAGCCGAAGCAATAGAATGCAAATTAAAACAAATAACGAAACAAAGGAGAGGCAGGTAACACCGCCTAGATACAAAGTCCCAGTGCCGGAGCCCCCAGCACCATTCGGGACGGGAAAACAGAATATTTTTTCCAGCCGAGCCCAAATGCCATGCCAGCGCGACTGAGACACTTTCAGCCGAGCACCGGCGCAATACTCTCACCAGGCCCACACCACACACCGCCTAACTGCAGCCGATGCAGGGGGCCGGGGTCTGGGCCCTGTATCCAGGCGGCATTGCGGAAGGCACATGTTACCTTGAAAGCTAACACGAAAGTCAGTGTGCATGCACAGCCCTGGTTGGCCTTCACCTTCTTTGACTTTCCATTGTATTTCACTCTCCAGGTCTAGGTTGTCGTTTATTTCAATGTGGAATAACCAAAAAATTTTTACTATTCGAGCGTGTTGGTGTTTTTCAAAACATTTAGGAAGTGGAGACACATAAGGGACGTCCCTTATGTGTCTCCACTTTCTAAATGTTAAGAAAAAAATGTTACTGCTAGAATGCCATTTTGTGGAGGCTTGTACTAGTCAAACAGGATGAAGAGTCGGATAAGTAAACCTCTTTTTGCCCTTCAGGCACGCAGTGGAATGCCTACGCCAAAGGTATCACCGCCCACTGGGTACAGACCGAGGACTTGGAGACACCCGACAGTAGCAGCACCACTGCCGGCAGCAACAGCACAACCACTGCCGCAGCCTTCGCCTCCACCACCACTACCTCTGCAGTGCCACCGCGAAGACCGGGCCCAGCATGTGCAATGAGCCCTGTCCTCAGTGATTCGGACGAGGAGGAGGAGGAAGAAGAGGACGACGACGACGGCGACGACTGCGACGATGACCCTCTGTGGGAGCCACCCACCAAAGGAGGCTTTGTCGAGTAAGAATGGTTTCCTCTTGGGATGAGGCAGGCTAAATATGAATGAACATTTACAGCTGGCACCAATATGTGCTGGCACATGTCTTGTGCTAGCTGAATTGATCAAAATGCCGCTTAGGCTGCCCCTTGCATGCCGAGTCACAGAACCAAACACCACAATGCAGCAGTAAGGGACCTAGTGCTCCTAGCATGGCATTATTGCCTCCTGCCTGAGTACCCTTGTTCCAGCTTGTACTGCTGCTTAATTTACCAATACAACGGATCAAGAGCAGGCCATAGCAAGAAGAACGAGAAGTGTTCCACACGACTGTGGTGGCTTTGCTATTGATTGCAAACCTTTCGGGTCGTATGTTTCACAGCACAGAATTTTTTTTTTCTTTTCAAGAACAGGTAGGGGTAGTTGCCAGTGCTTTGCAATGGTTTCACATGCTAACAAATATACGAAAAGACAACATCAAATTGTGATCCCAACTTATTTTATGTAAATATCAATCTGAATTTTAAGGGACCATAAATAACAAATAAATAAACTTGACTAAACCATTTTGCAAATTCTTTTTGGAAGTTTGTTATAAGTAGGGTTCATCTTGGACCGAATGTTTCTGAAATTGTATTAGTGAACGGTTCAGAAAATGAACAAGGCAGCATTGCTCCTTTAGTTTTTGTAAGCCAAGCACAGAAGTGACTGTTGATCAGTAAGCACTCACAACTTTTCCAGGAGTGCCACCACTGTGTCCGGAGAGCCAGACTACAAAGAACGAAAGTTCCTCGTGTTTGAGAGCAGCCTGCGGCAGTTGTTTGCGGTCTGCCAGACGTGCTACAGCCCCTGCAGTGTGTTACTGAGCACGATTGGCACGCTCCTGACGGTGCACACCTCTTGCCCCGCTGGGCATAAGAACCGTTGGGACAGTCAGCCCTACATCAACGGCAGGCCTCTGGGGAACCTCCTCATCACCAGCTTCGTCCTGTTCACGGGGGCCTCCCCAACCATCACGCTGCGCCTGCTCCGCCTAATGAACATCGTGGTGATCTCAATGAAGACATACACAAACTACCAGCGGGCAATTTTGATCCCAGCTGTTGAACAGGTGATTATGATGCTATCTTATGAGCATTATCTGACATGCTTTTGTATCCCAATGCAGTGTTTGACCACACTGCTTGCTAAAGTACCAAGCATTTTACTTTTATCTCCCACAGGTGTGGGAGGAGGAGCAGGAGAAGCTGTTGGGAGAGCTCCGTGACCAACCCCTTGACCTTGCTGGTGACGGGAGGTGCGACTCCCCAGGCTACAGCGCAAAATATCTGACGTACTCTCTTCATGCACCCCACGTGAACAAGATCGTTCACTTAGAACAGGTTCAGGTAGGAGAGGTAAGGAAGGGATCCATCGTCCTCATTACAATAACATGTAATTTTGTGAAACAGAATTAATACACTCAGTTGCACAGCAAAGCTTCTAACTAAACCTAATGCTTTTGGCACTTTTTGTGTTTGGCAATGTCATTTGGCACTGTTGTGACCAAAGCCAGGTCGTCGTGGCTTTCGGCAACTTGGAGTGATTCTGAAAAACACAAGCAGGCAGCTTTTATTTCTTTATACTTCGGGTTTTTTTGAAAAAGATTAAATTTCGTTTCTTGTATTATGGTCACCCGCAATCTTCGGTAGACCTTTTCTGCTTCAAACATTTCTTGCCCTTTCACCCACCATGTGTCTCTACGAAATGTCACAGAAGTACTTGACCCACAGAGTTCACAAAGCTCTTGTTCCAGACATGTATAGCATTGGCCCGATGAATTGGCCTTTCTAAACAGGTTGCAAGAATCTGTTTGTCAGTGTTATATGCATTCTATGGTGACAGTGTTAGCAGACTGTGCTTGCCTACTTGGATGTGCTACCTACAGATGTCAGAAGCATCGAGGGTGTGCCTAGATAACAGACAATCTTCTGAAAGCTTCTGATGTGTCCTTTAGTGCAGTATGTGTCTGTAATTTATTCAAGCTGCGGTGTTTTAGCCCCATTTCTGGTATGGGATGTGGCGTCGCAAGGTGCTGCATCCTCGTGTCTCAGGTTGCACCATTCATTGGCAGCACCTCCAAGTAGGCAAACACCACCTGCCAGTACTAAATCTCAGTGCAATACATTGAATTTTGTGGTCTGTTTAGAGGTCAGATTCAGTGGGCCCACACTGTATAGTATTGATGCGTTCGCAGCTTTTGAGGCATAGCCGGGCGGTTTGCCTATATGGTTTGGACACCGTAGCGTGGGGTTCAATTCCCAGCAGCGGACACATTTTTAATTCTTATTTTATTTAGGGTACTGGGAGGACCCAGAACAATCTCGAAAGTTCTTGTTTTAGTCTGTTGGCACATCTGTTCTTCTTGAACTATCTATACCCGTTTTCACCTCAAGAAAAAAACAAGTTTTGCACATTGTTCATATGCAGCGCAAAGTAGTTCTTATGAGATTTAGTTGTCGGAGGAAAAAGCAATGCTTTTGGCTTTTGGAGTGTGTACGGCTTAATAAGATAACATATATCTAACCTACAATTCACCCACAAATTCTCCTACATAAAGGGGGAAGTTAATGATGCTCAGCGAGAAGCCGGATTTTTTTTTACTAGTGTTCTTCACGTGAAAACGGGTGTAGTAGGAATGTGGTAGACGGTAGCGTGTTTATAAAAGTGACTTATAGCGCCTGCCTACAGTCAGTCGTCCGGCCGAGGCCCATTGCCACCGTTGCAGGGTGCACAATATTTTCATTTTGGAGGCACAGATTCGCCTTATAAAAAGCAGCTTTTCAGTTTTACTAACATCCACTGCTTCTGTTCGTGACAGCATTACCAATACAGCAATGGTCAGATTGATCCCAAGCTCTGAAACCAAAATTTCTATCTGGCGTCCGGTGCTGAATCGGTAATGCTGCAGGATATGTCAATACATGCAGTGGACGATGTACTGATTAGAGCAACTGGAAATAACTTGTTCTACTATCCTCTGATTACAGTGTGAGGCGGTTCCCAACAGTGGAAGTATGGAGAAGGAAGGCCTGATCAGGTCCCTGGCCTTTGCAAGGGAGAAGGAGCTGACAGTGCGGTCCCTGGCCACGGACAGGCACCGCTCAATCGCCAAGCACATGAGGGAGAAAGAGCCGGCTGTCCTCCACTTCTTCGACGTCTGGCATGTGTCAAAGAGTAAATGGCATTTCTCATGGTCCTATTACCGTACATAAACAGACAACCTACACTGACTGCCGACATGGCAGAAGCAAAGTTCTGGTGACTCCAGCGTCTGCACTATCACTTGGTAATAAATGGGCACCTGTTGACAGTTGGCAATGTTTAAAACCTGAGAAAGGTAGATGACAAAATGCCCTTGGCATGTCTGCAAGCCGTGTTGCCTAGCAGTGCTACTTCTTTCTGCCTTTTTATATGTTGGTAGTCAACCCTTGTGTTGTGACTCTCTTTTGAAGAGAAGCTGATGTGGCTTTGTAATTGGGATAAACCGTCTATGCCTGTTGGTTTCACCTACACAATCTCGACTATGATTCATTTCTCTTTGTAGTGTCTAAATTATGTCAATTAAATGAACTATAAACAGACTTAAAACTATGATTCTAGCAGCATGATGTTTTCTCTTGTGCTTTTCGCATGCACATCACTTGTTTCTTTAGTTTATTAAAATATGATGGGCAGTTTGCATTACCAGCTGACATAAAGGCAGCAGTGAAAAAAGGCGTGAATATGTTTTGCAAGTGAGATGCTTCCTTTTCCTGTGTTGAATATTTTCTTGCAGATGAGCTGTTCGAAAAACTAGACAAGTGCTAATTCTGCACACTGGTCGAACTGCAGGTGTCAAGAAGAGCCTTAACGCAGCCAGCAAGAGCCATGACTGTGGCTCGCTGGTTGGGTGGGCACAGCCGGCGGTCAACCACATGTACTGGTGTGCGACGGCGAGCCGGGGCAACCCTGACCTGCTGGTGGGTGCCTGGTCGAGCATGACAAGGCACGTGGTCGACGTCCATGCAGACCACCCCGGGATGTACACCAAGTGCCTTCATGAGCCCATCGAAGATGGTGAATGGCTGGTGCCAGGTCAGTAGACGTTTCACATGTCTCTAAAGGTTCTACTTAGCAAGTTGACTTTCGGTGATTTGGAGCAGACAGGAAAAATGAAATTCTTCTAATGAAATGTCCTTCGAGTTATGAGCAAGCACTCAAACAATACTTTTTTTTGTCCTCCACTGTTGGCAGTTTAGTAAACACTATGCATATCGCAAATGTATCTGCAAACGTCATCAGTGTTCGGTTTGTTGAAGGAGTACTTCACAACAGGCAATGCAGCTTTCTCATTTTTCAGCACTCGGCAGCTTGAAACTACAAGCAATGCGATAGTTTTTATGTCTGACCCCATTCACAGTTTCACTCTCAAAATATTGACCAGAGGTTATGAAATGTGTCGACATCTAGATATCCGTTATACGAAACACCTTCAACTGCCAACAGCTTTGTTGCCAAATAGCCATGGTAGTGTTTTAGGCGTAGTCAGCATATTTGCATGCAAAACAAGCCTTTGAATTAACTAGGTTTGACTGTAGACTTTGAATTACCGCACCTATTTTACATAGACTTGAATGTATGATTTCCGGGACTGCACCCTTACTTGTAACTATCCAACCATTTAAAGAAAAGACTGAGTTGGAATGAGTAAAGTGTATAAATGAAAGAAATATAGACTTAAATGAAATGCAGTAATGTTTAAGGGACCATAAACACAATTAAAAAAAAAAAGGTTTAGAAAATAGTGTGTTTGAACTCCTTGGAGGCTGAACACGCTCCTCAACGTTTTATAGAATTCGGCGACGCATATTTCATGCCTGCAAATAAACTGGCGAAACCGAAACTAGCTATCCTCAATTTCATTTTCTGGTCCTCCGAAATCAGAAGTGACGTCAACACCGAATTAATCGGTTTCGGTAGCATTTAGTGGCTGTCAAGCATGACTTTTGCGGCGAGTGGTAGCAAAGCAGAGACGTCGGGTGCGACGTCTCTGCTCTTGGCGCGCGGACAGGAGCCGCTTCTTTTGTCTTCTCCCACACCTACCAACTGCTTCTCCTGCTCTTCGGGATGTCGCTGTCATTGCTCCTAGTGCAAAGTTTGATGGAATTTCTAAATTGACACAAGGATCAGTTCCACCTAAAACTTACCAACATTGTTAGGGATGTGCCCGGAACATATTATAACCGTCAAATAAAACTTCAAAATCGTGTTTATTGTTCCAATGTAAATGGACTAAATGTTACTCAGGTAAAATTTCGTGCTGCAAGCCTTAATCTTGCTTTCTGTTTGTTTTAGACACACCTGCCCATGCCAGGTTTGTGGACGTCGTGTCCAGCAAGTCCCTACTCAAGGACCTGCGCCAGCTTTCCCCTGACACACAAACCTATGGATTGGAATCTTTCCATAGTGTGCTCAACCGCTTTGCACCCAAGTGGGCTGCCTTTCGCACAAAAGGCATGCTCGCCAGGTATGTACTCACAGAACACATAGAGAAATGTTAGAGAAAGGAGGTGTTGGTGACTACCCACATAGCTAACCGGAAAGCAGGTGATATATTTGTGATGTGCATTTCAGCTCACTGCTTTCCGTTTTAGGATATGTTGTCATTTTCGGCATTCGTCCACTGTTATTTATTTTTTTAGAATAATAAGAAACCCTTTTAAAAGGCAACTCCACTCAATTTCGAAGATTTCGGGATAATGAGTAATTTCAAATTAAAAAGACCTAGTAAAACACACTACGTCGTTTGCTTCGCAAAAAATGGGATATATATTTTCAAACCTAATTTTAAACACGAGCGGAAATCGAAACCGAAACTTTGGCTCCGCCCGGCAACATTGGCCTCGGGCCGCCAAGTGTTGGTACCATCTCGTACCATCACGTGGTATGAGATGTCACGTGATCCTCGGCCCAACGACGGGCAGGATTGGGTCGGGCGTGTGGCTGGTGCGAGTGTCGTCTGCACCTCACTCTTTGCCACGTTTTGGTGTCTACGGCATTCAACGACGTCTGCACAACTGCGGCATAAGTCTGCACATGTGGTGTGCAGACTTATGGCTTATGTGGTGTCCGTAGTATGGATGAAACTCCGAGAGACAATAATCACAATCGGTGAGGCGATGATGGCGGTTGTGACACGGAAGACGGCGGGACCACGGCGGGCGGCCGGACGGCTCCCAAGAAACGCGCTGCGCAGGCGCGTTACACCAATCACGTGGACACCGCTAAGCGCCGAGAGGCAACGTTGCTGACGTCATGCACTACGCTCGCCCGGATAAGTGAAAACAAGCTAAAGGGGGCCATGATAATGACATTTAGCTCAATGTTGGCTCTGCCCATGCCGTAGCCTTGACTGCGCTGTTGGTTGCGTTTGAATTCGCCCGCTCAAGTCAGCCGATTTCGGCAACTTGGCGAGTTGCAAAGTTTGCCGGACCGTTTAAGAAACATTTAGACAGAACTGCGTCGTAACATTTCACGTGTGGTCTTCCTAGGCGATACTGAAGAGGACTGCATTGTTTTTTTCAAAACCAAAAATGAAGCGGAGTTGCCCTTTAAGTTCTTTCAGTGTTTCGGAATTCTTCAGAAAGACGAGAGTCTCAGTGTGAGGGTGTAACATGGTGGCCTAATTCTTTTTTTTAACATCCTGCTCCGTCAGAATCACCGTTGTTTCTCAGTAGATAGAGCGGAGTTGCTAAATATCAACTCTATGTAGCTGCACGTATAGCCTGGTTGACCTACTGGGCAGTGCACTGGGCTCTCACGCTGGTGGCCGAGATTCAATACCCGGAACCATGGGTGCTTTTATTTTGCTACTTTACAGAAAGGTTCTAGAATGATTGCATAATTAGTGGTAAGTTCCGACTTAGAAAGTTCTATGCCCGATCGTGTTCGTTCGGATGTTCAAGAAACCAGTGTAACATGAAAGAAGAGTTGGCGGGACAGTATGGAGCCATTCATCACCAGTGCTCAACCCTGCTCTCATGCCGATATCGGTGCCTGCGACGTTCCATTATTCTAATTTGTTTCTTTGCCTTTGGGCACAGGTTCACCCCCATTAAATCTATCATTCACCCTGTTTGTTTATCGTTCCTTCGTTGGATTCGTGGCAGTGTGCAGGTTCCAGCACAGACCCAAATGACATGACTGCTATCTCCACTGCTAAGGAAGACCTAAGAATGCAGAAGTTTCATCAAAACATACCGGGCGGCATTTCAAAGCACATACTGTTTGTGGGAGCTGCACCACATTTTGTTTGTCTGCATTCTCTATTTGTTCAGGACCCGTGTAGCAGCGCTACACTGGAATGAGAACAGCGAAAGGGAGCAGGCCACTACTAAGGCGGGTGAAAGGCAGTGGGCAGTGAGATCGCCCAAGGCCAGGAAAGGGCATCACACCGTCTGCCCCCAAAAGACAAAAGTCACATATGGTATTCTGAAAGAATTCTACTCTGTGGTCTTTTTAATTGCTATTCCTGTACTATTAGGAGATCAATTTAAGTAGTGACTACAGCTGATGACTGATTAGTCACAGGGTGTGTACCAACCGGGAGAACCTGGAATTCTCAGAAGATTTCAGTCATCAGGAAAAGTCTGGGAATTATCAAGGAAATCATCAAAAAGTTGACTAAATCAAGGGAAATGACCAATGAAAGTGTCACAGTGGCGCAGAAGAGGGCGCGACGGTATCACATCAGCATAGCCATGCTGAATGTTGCCGAAACAGTCCGAGTATTTTATCGAAATAGGTAAAAATCTGGAAAAGTCACAGAATTTGACATCAGACACCCTGTAGACCAGGACAGTATCTGCCCATAAGTTAAGTGCTCAGATAAACTGCTGTTGCTCACGGCATTGGCTTCATGCATCAAGATGTGTCCTCTGCCCCACGGCATTGGATTTATATGTCAAAAAGATAGTATGTCATCTACTCCATGGCATCAGCACCTTCTAATTTAATGAGAGGCACCCTCTTTTTAATTTCACATGAGGGCCATAATCACCCACGCAAGGTGGAAAATAGGCAGCTGAGGAGGAAGAAGGTTTCACCCGTGCAAACTTTTCTTTCCGGGACAGCGGGTATAAATCTAAATGCGAGCTGACACCTGTTTTATGTGATATAGATGTGTAGAGTATACAATTCTGAGCAGAAATTTATGAAGGCGCATATGTTGTATCACGGTGCTACCGACTTTGCACCGAAACTGAAATAACTGGAAGTAAAATGTTTTGATATAAACTAAAGCTATCAAAAAATATGATAAATTAATTTTTCAGATTACGTCGGAAAGCTCGTGGCTTGGGCCGTGGCAATCTGCAAGGACATCGGACCTCTGAGGGAGGTCTTCAAGCTTGATGCGAGGACGCCGCGTCTGCCAAACCTGAACCGGAGCTGCGACAGACCACCAAAGGAGGATCTGGTTGCTGCCAGAATCAGCCGTTTTGGAAAGAAGGCGCCCAACGCAACGGAGTAATGGTTTGCTTTGCAAGCACAATACCAGCGCACTCCACTTGCTGGTTGAGTTCTTGTTGCAGTTGGGGCTGTTGTAACATGAGCTGGAGTGGGGCTCTGGTCGCTCGCACTGTGTATTTGAGGAAGCTGGCATTTTGCCTGACGACTTTTCCGTTTCGAGATGCCTTGATGCAGGATCCTCGGAATGAGATAACAGTGAAAGACCTGGGGTCATAAAATGGAGTGGATTTGTTGTGCTGCTGTTCTCTGCAGAGCGCGAGTTGACTTGAAATGAAGTTGTACGTTTGTGCGTAATGTCACTTGTTGACATATGCCTTGTCGTATCTTTTCCTCGCTGCATCTGTTTGTTGTGCCTCGATCTCGGTGTAGCCTTTGTCACCAGGGTTAGGAAGTACTGGTAACATGTTGCACACTTCCCAGTTCTTTGACAGATGAGGTGGTGATGGCTTGGTGTTCACTGCGAGCACCTTTCTTTTGTTTTCGTCGGGCTGCTAGAGTTTTGTTTTATGATGCTGACGTTGTGCTTCGCCTCTTCGAATAGCCGGCCTTGCTTGAGTATTCCTTGTACGTCGAGGTCGTGTTGTATGGTATAGCGGCGCAGCCTTGAGGACTTTGTCGTGATGAGGATCTGGTTTTTAATCTCGGTGTCCAGGCCAACGAACACACAGTGCCTCGCAAGCTGCCGCAGTCAAGCGTAAAGCAGGTTGAGTGACTCGCTTCCCACCTGCTTCGTCTGCTGAAAGCGGTAAACTTCGAAGCTCGTAGTTACCTGGGGTAGGAGTAAGCGTCGAGCTTCCTGCGTGTAGCTGTGTATAGAGCAGTTGTGTCGCTGCAGAACTTTGCTGCGGTTGAGACAGGCGCAGTCACTGGAGGTTCTGGTAGCATGCAGCAAGTGTCGTAGAGGTCTTCTCCGATATAGTGCAACTGAAAGGCGGTGTTCCTGGCATCATTTTGATTCCACAGGCGACCACAAAGTCCTCGAACCGTTTTACCCACATTGACCACTCAGTGCCGACATTATTGGTATCAGTGACACGAGCGTCAAAGGAGGGGAATGGGGGGGAGCACGCCTTAGTCCATCTTGCTAGGCAGGTGTCATTTGTTGGATGCGTTGGGGTCCATTCCACTTCATTGCAGGGCGATCCTTATGCTGTTCTTGCACATTTTCTTGGCCATTTGTAGCGTTGTCTGCGTTTAGGAGGGATGAATTTCGTCCGGTTATGATTCGGAACAAAACATGTTTATTACACATTCATAGCTATCTCGGATCATGTGTCCATGGATGTGTTAGAATCTCCTAGGATACTGCACTATTGAACTGTTCATTACAGTACAGTAGACCAAAGAGGCATGGCCTGGTTTGTGCCTACCAGGTTGAAGGAGAGGGAACGAAGTATGAGCTTGGTCTGGCTTTATTTTCACAGTCCCCACTTTTTTGCAATTCAGGCAAAGGAACATACCCCCGAATTTTGTGAATTCCAAAAGTGAGAATTGAGGGCCTCTAGAGGCCAGTGTTTTCTTTCGCATGCTCCTAAATTTCACTAATCCTTCAATTCGCGAAATTCACCAAATTAAGGGCTTGCAAAAGTAAAGGGTTTTACAGTATTGGGACAGCCAGTCAGCGTGCCCATATGCAGGGCACACCAACACTCGGATACAGCAGTTCTCACACAAACCCCCAAGGGTCCTCAAGAGCATTCATGGGGGGGGAGTCGTCTTCCTTGCATTAGTGCATGTCAAATCAAGGACACGAAACAGGGTGTCCGATGTTGGCACATTATTGTCTAGCGTACATCACCTTTTACACTGATTGCAAGCTGCGAGTACCACTTCATATGTAGCACAATCTGAGTACCTGCAAATGCACTATGTTTTTGGGACCTTGCCTTGCAGCCTTGTTTTGTGTGTGTTTAGTTGATACGTTTGGTTTACATCCCGTCTGCCCCCTTTTCACATAATAAGTCTTGTGTCAAACTGATAGGGGAGGACGCTCACTCGAGTCAAGCCTCGGCTAAAGTGCGATGTGCTTATCAGTTTGTGCTGAGCCCCGAGTGAGCATCCTCTCCTTGAAGCAGAATGAAATTGCCCGCAGTGCCCCCGCCAGCCACCGCCTCGGTCACGCTCTCCCAGTGGGTCCTTCGTATTGCAGCACATTGTACATGAATAGTGCAAAATAAACAGCAATGCTTCGTAAGCTGTAGGAAGTACTGAATGTAGAATGACTACATGAACAGTGCAAAATTGATTGCAATGCTTTGTAAGCTGCGGGAAAACCAGCATCAGTGCTTGAAGTTGTATGTTTGTTTTAATCAGTCGAAATGTTTTGTTGTCTGGGTGCATAAAGTAGTATGCTTGAAAAAACTTTAGTGAAACAATGTGGCGTTTACAACATTTTTATTCTACATCATGAAACCCCGTATACGTTTCCGAAGGGAATTCATCGTGGATCCTCTTGACCACGCAGGCCGGTAGAACACGTCGATTGCGACGTCCCAGCCTCCGCCACATCCACCGCACGAATTGGTGATAGGCCGCAAAACGAAGCCTGGAAAATTTATAAGGACAAAGCTGGTCAATTACCACCGATACAAATGTTTGAAGTGCCAGCCAAGACACACTACACATCTCGATGATACTATACTCAGTTTCAAGTTGTGTGCAGTGCAGGCACAGCTTTCCACAGTGTTTTGTGTGCACAAGCACTTGCACGCGGAGGGTGTGTTTGGAAGCCACGCGCTCGTGCCTGTGCCTACACTGCACACAAGTTGGGACTCCGAGTATAGGGCAGGTTTATGGAATTGAGGTGCATGTGACAAATGAAAATACATCAAGATTTACTTTGGAGTATCTAATTAAGTGAAACGCAGGACTACAGAGATGTGATGTTTTCAAAAGCTGGACGGTGCAATAAGATGCAATGAATGCCTGACCATGTTACTTGTGCACATAGGAGACTTGACCGCATGTAATAAAAAACAGCATCATGTGTCGAGCTTGAATGTTTTGTTTTACTGATTGTCTGTACTTTGCGATTTCTGGCTGAACAATATAAGCGGGTAATAGGGCCACTTCATGCAGAGCACACCCGCCTTTTGTCCTATTACACAAGACCTTGTGCTCAAATAAACTGGGCAACTTCAGAGAGTTGTGATGCAGTCTCCTAAACGTGGTGTTGTGTTCTTCCATGGGAATATCTGCATGGTGACGTGCGTGTGCGCCACCCAAAATGTTTTGTCAGCCCCAGACTGTCACATGTTTAAAAACTCCTGCATTATAAAAAATAAGGCATACCTTTTCTTTTTTCACAAAGGGAAAACCCAAAAAATTAGACCTTGATAAACTATTCCTTTTTTTTTTTCTTCTTTTTGTATGACTGAAATTGATGTTACAGGCACGAGTGCGCTGTCTTCGACAACGATTTGCCTTCACGAACGCGTGCTTAGCAGGCCCAAAGTTTTGCGCTCGCTTCCGTTGCTTCCTTTTCGCTTGGGATTAGTATGAAGTGAGGTCTGGAAGTATAAGCTGGACTAAGGAGAGGCTCCGTGACCACTGAGTACTCGAGCTTCTTTACTTGGCCAGCACATTCCGAAGGATCCCAGAAAGGTCTGCACAGAGTAGGCCACAAGCATTTTGTTCCACTCCAGTGAGCATCCTAACTATGCAAAGCTTCACACAGCAGGGGACAGCTCGTCTGCATGGTCATTGCATGCATATTTGCAGACGGGAGTGGGGTCGGTACTGTGCGCGAAAGACTTGCCGTGTGCATCACACTGGCGTTTTATTACATTCTAGTCGAACTTATAAAATCACCGAACAAAATTTTAGGAGAAGGTTTCCCAGAGATAACTTTCTCTTGGTTATAAGGGAAAACCTGCGCTGGCGTATGCAGTACGTGCTAGCGGGGTCGCGTTCTGCAATCCCTGAGCGCAGGAAGCATGTCTATCAAATGAGCAACACTTTCCTACAAGGAAATTTCAAACAAACTACGCACTTCTGTTCTCGCGGCGCCGGGTGACGACCTGCCTCCTGCA